GGTGCCACAGGTCGCCCACTGTAGCTAAGCAGTCCACATCACACAGGCGTGCAGCCATCGTCTTCTCCAGCTCAATACGTTTCGCCACAGTACCGAGGGAGAGAATGTTAAATTCATGCCGACCCACGGCTGGAGTGCAATACATAGATTTACGAAAATATATGTACAGCCACTCACCACTGACCAGCAGAAATAGTCGGTCGCTCCTCGGCACAAACCGTATCATGGAGGATAGCTGAGTGTGGAAATGATCACGCGTGTCATCATGACAACACATGGTCGGACCGTACGTGCTTATTAAGGTTGCAAACTTACCTCTTCCGAGTCGTAGGTGAGCAGTCATCAGTCGCGCGCTAATCCTGTTGATTCACCCACGAGCTGGCCATGGAGGCAATCGGATATTGCAAATCCGACCCCATGATCACGTGGTGCTAAGGCGGTGTTGCGCACCCAGTGTATCCAGCATCTGCTTCATGCAACTTACCTTGCTCAGCGAGCCGGGTTTCACTGAGCGCCGCAATATCGATGTTATAGCACGCCAGTTCCATCGCGACCATTGCAATGTGTCGATCGGGGCGCTCGCTCGAGTTCCGGTCCAGTAGTGCGCGCAGGTTCCAACACCTGATGCTAAGTGCTTTGCGCGCAGGCATACTATTGCCTTGGTGGGCAATCGCACGCGAGGTGGTCGTTGTGCTTCGGAGGTTTGCTTGGGGCTCCACCCGGAGCCTTTGGTTCAATGGCCTGACCTGGGTGATTTGGAGGTCTGCTTGACGGACTCCACTCGGAGCCTTTGGCTCAATAGCATGACCCACAATGCAGTGGGGTGCAGATCCAGCTCGGGAATATGATTGCAGAGACAGATTGGGATCTGCTTGACGGCCGTCACACGCAGCCTTTGAGGTACTGTAACGACTCATATTTGTTTTGTGACCGTAGTAGGATACATCTGCGACCACGGCTAGACGCAGGTGGGTTGTGGCGGGTTTGCACCAATTTGACCGGGGACTGCCTGGCTTGAGGCTGGCAGTAGAAATTCATTGAGCACCCGGAGGTGCCCTCCGCGTGGCGCTCGTGCTCTACTCCAATCCAGCTGTGAGCTTATAAGCCGTAGACCTGTTGTGTCCCATTGCTAGGTTTTACGGGAAGAGGGCCCTCGACGACTTCCTAACCTCCGAAGAGGATGGACTAGGATACTGGCAGGGCACCTACACCTGACAGGAGAACGACTCGGGTCCTCAGCCAAAGCCTTCGATTAAATGTATACCCGCAAGGCAGCGGGTCTAGCACTGACCCGTGGGGATTGGTGTCCTGGATCTCAGGGCCTAACCCTACTGCCACCCAGCGGTCGCCACGAGGACGTGAGCCCATTGCACAGCAGTAGTAGCAGTGGGTAGACCATCTGTCAGGATCTAACTGCCACCAGCCTCGGCGCATCATGGTCTCTCCTGCCAAATAAATAAATAAATATATATATATATATACATATATATCCACCTCGCCACTCTGGCTGCAAGCGCTTTTACCATTGGACTGCCTCAGAAGCCTCCATGGGCCACTGCAGTTTGGTTGTTTCAAACTGCTTCGATGTGCTACACTTTGCTTAGTTACTTTATTTCACATTCCTTTACCTACGTTCTGCTCTTGACGCGAGTAACCGTTTTACATTTACAGGACTTTTCTTATATTATTCGAAGTGTCTTCAATACGGAACCACAGAGCTCAAAATAATGTTTAGTGTGGTCGGTAATGTAGTCCCATTTAATCCCCAGGTCCTCATTGTTGAAGACTGAAAAGAGAATCATCCACTAGGGTTTTTTCATACTACTCCGTTTGATGGTTCCGGAAGGGCGTCTAGTCATTTTGATAAAATTGGTCTTGTTATGGTTGACTGGATATTAAAACTGTGACCTGAGCTGCCCGACGGAGCTTATTTTTCTTTGGAACTGCACTTTTGTGTAAATAATGTTTTGCTGGGTGTATTGTTTGATCGAAACAGTCTTTAAGACTATTATGTCCTCTTTATTAAAGTCACCAGCAACAGTGCAAAAGGAATGTTCTGGTTTCAGCTGCAACCCTAAAGAATTTTGGTCCTCAGATGTGTCACGAGCTACATGGATGTTTCTGACAATGATGGATTGAAATCCACGTAAAATCGCGGTTTCATTCAGTTAGATGGCAGCCTACATGAGCTGTTGTGTATGTGAATGATGCGGTTGCTCAATTACACCAATTTTGGTTGGTGATAACGCCTCCAACGCAAAACCGGGGCCTTCCAATACGGTCAGACCTGCTTGGAACATAGCCAACCAGTTGACTAACTTCATCTACATCAGTATGCGGTCATCTCTCTTATAACTGAATGATGGTATGCTTATTTGCATTCTCTGCATTGCACAAGGGTGATGAAATTAATTTCACCAAAAAGTGAGGACACATGACTGGAAAGTCTCAGTGGGACTTCCGCTTTGAATCTGGAACACTTGCTGAGGCCGTGTTGCCGACCAGTTCGATGGTTTCGCTTGTTTCTAAAATGTTTCTTTGTTCTTTGTCTCATTGCAATCAGCTTGTTGCGATTTAATCGTTCGGTTTTCTCGACAATCTTTATGTATGGCCTCCTGTATTTCACGTCTTGCGAAGGTCTCCTAGAAGCAAACTACGTTGAGATATATACATATTTATATATATATACTCACAAATATATATTAAACACTGTGGTTAACATGTAATTTGCTACATTTCCCCATCACTTGTCCTGTTATCATGATCATGTCTGTAGAGGCATGCCTCGCGTTGTCGAGAATAAAATATCTATTTTTTCAAAGTACTGTGTGGCCAATTCATCATTTCGGGACTCGTCACTAATCCGCATTCCATCTGTACCCTGTGAGGTTAGAGTCCACATCCTTGAATTACGCGTTTATGTTCAACACCACTCACCCACGGGGGATACACGACACTTGCCATGACTCATGTTTGTTACCATCGCAATGTACTTTGCAGTGAAACCTGCGGGAGATCGGATATCCGGATGCATGTGGTGGGGCTTCAGTTCCAGTTAGCCTGCTACGTCGTAGTCTGTCACTGGTGGTTGAATTAACCTGGAAGTACTGCATACGTGGGTAGTTTGAGTTGGGGCGATTGATGTGTAGTGTTTATCTAGAAATAACCTACTTATCACCCAAATGTACTTTTTCACAACACACACACACGAGAATCTCCAAGAATACAGCGGTCAAGAGGTTCATGAATATGCTGTTGGAGAAAAGTGAAGTGGCGATGTCAGTTCTGTCAACTCTTAACTGTCGAAGGTAGTAAACAAGACACAAGCCTACAATGATATGTTCTGCATTATACATTGAGTTGGAAGATGCAAACATGTTAGCTGCTTTAGAGTATATCCCAAGAAGTAAACCACTAGTATCGATTAGAAACGTTTTCTCATAGTTCATCAGCGGATGTGGCAATGTTCACCAATTCCATTGTTTTTTCGTGCCTTAATTTTCCATGGTAGTCTGTCCCACACATGTGAACATACGTGAAGGAAGAACCTACTGCAAACGTCGGAACGAGTTCTTGGTAGGGTGATTAAATGTATATTCCTTAACAGGAAACTTGTGGATCTGTTTGAATGGTCAGAACAATAGCTGTTCGCTATAGGATTGATTAGTTTTAGGACAATAATATTTGGCTTGTGTTTATTTTTACCACCGAGAGTGGATCATATTCGAGAAGTTTGCAGCGACCACAGTAGATGGACTCCGAACAGCCCACATACCTTTTAGTGGGTGGATGCAACACTTTCTCAATGACAAATCTACCACCTATTCATATAGTAGTGCTCGTTAGTGAGCGATATTCTAGGAGCTTCCTTAAGCGTCATGAATCTGTGTAACCAATATGAGCTCTAACCAGCCGAACTATATCTCACCGTGTGTGTAACTCAACGAATATTATAGTAACACTTTTCTCTAAATTATCCCACCCGTTTCACTCTTAGTGACAAGTTGCTGAAGGCCCGTCAGGAAAAAATTCTTGCTTATCACTTGTTCCATTTTAGTAGCTTTTCATTCACCTTGTATTGGGCAGCGTTCATGCTTTGCTAACTACTCAGCTGCTTGCCAGCTGAGAGACTTCCCACTTTGGGGAGTTATAACTTTCGCGAACAAACTATTATTTTAACCAATAATGGATTATGCTAGTAATATTCAGTGAGTGATTCCAATTCGTTCCATAGAATTCATTTGCTTCGTTTGACGCCACTGCCAACCCGCAGGTTTGTTGAGCTAGATGTGACTACTATTTTTACCACCTTACTTATCGGTTACGGAAATCGTAGACTCCCAGCTGCAACGAATACTCCAGCCAAATTGTGTCGTACCTTGGCACATGTTCTTGTGACGTATTTCTGTTGTCAAGTCCGATTTTAACTTGTAAGTTTACAGCTTACGAGAGTGTTCAGTTGTATTCGCTTAGAACTTGGAAGAGCGAATAGTCGGAGTTATGATCAACTGAACGTTTGTCGTATTTTCGCCATACTGCTATTTGTTTGGGTTCTTGAAAGCCACTCAAACGGTCAATATGATACAACGATCGGTGCATGATCTAATTTGCTCACCACCTGATGTCTGTGCGGCGGACTTGGTTCTACCTCTGAATTCAATTTTGCTGCACATTTTTAGTTTACACTGTTATCAGTTACCTACTTATTCGTCTGTATTCCTCCCGAAAACTCTTAAGCATACTATCATTCATAGTGCAGCAGTTGCCATAACTCGGTGTCATACGTGCTTTTACTCTGTTGGCTGTGATGCGGAAAATTTTGGTAGCTTCTTTTTATATCTTTCTTTGAATTTTTCTATCAGCAAACTTGTTCGGGATCGCGTCAGATTATGTTTCACTGCCCACTCAACTCACTATGTGTCCAATCGATGTATCACTGAGCTGTGTGCACCATAAACTTACACATCCGAATGTCATTTACTCAACTGCCGTACTTTTAGGCCGAAAAGACCGAAGGATCCGTGACCACACTCTCTTCCGACGGATCCGCCGTGCCTACGGAACCCTACCCAACCGCCACCACCATGGACGAGACTTCTTTGGTCTTGACTGATGTGCCCATCACTCCTGTGGCCCGATTGAGAGCTTCGACGAATGTGCAATCTACCGGGGATGCCACGTCTCTGTTCATTGCTCCCATTCTCTTACAATTAACCGAGCATTCTCCTGATGATATTACTTCCATAATGTCGGGATAATCCTGTAAGCAATTTTTGCTTTTTCTTCAGGTCTTTTATTACATTGAGCATTAAATCTTTATTCCACATGCTACTAGAATTATGTTCTCATGCTAACCAATTATGCAATCAAGGTGCAGTCACACAGATTTCCGCCTTTTCCGCTTACTTCCTAATTCTATCGCGCTACGTCAAACCAATCTATCATTTCGTAACGATTTTCTCATCAAATTATTGTGTATGCAAATGAGACTTGATGCGCATACTTCGTGACCGTAGATAACAATATAGACGGACGTTTAGCCCAAATTCGTATCATATGTTACCGAGGTCGACCGGACGTCACACCCCGTTTGTGTGCCTAACGGGAAACTCGCAAACACAACTTGGATTCAGGACTGAAGAAAGCAAAGTGATATCAGCAAATTACTGATGACATCTAAATAAATATTTTGCATAGGTTCAGGCCAGCTATCATCTATATGCACGTAGGCAACTGGTTACCAAGTTATTGGCTAGTTTCTGCCACGTACAAAATCTCGGTAAGCGACCAGATGAGCTCTGCGGTAAGCACCCAAATTCCATACTGATTATCTCTCACGTGACATGTTTGATATGCTGCGTTAGCAATGGGATTTGTTGCGCTTGTTGAGTTAATACAGGACGACTTGTAGGTCTTATGGAGACCTCATTGGTTACATAAACTCTTCCCACTGAGAACATTTTCCTTGTTTCAGTTCCGCCACTTGGTTACCGGGTGATGATTGGGCAATGTGATGGCCTTGACAAACTTTTCAGATGCTTACTACTTCAGTTTCTTCCCCACAGACACTACTACCAGGTCGTCGGCTGCGTGATATCAATGACATCGTTATCCGGTGGTACTTATGGCCCCCTGACAATTACCATCGCCTGTGGTTATTAAGTGTCAGCTGATTCACTCTGAAAATTATGTCGCCTTCTGATAACGAGGTTAACCGTGCTATAATTACTAGTGGGAAGATCATTTGTTCTTTTCCAAGATCTGTAAAAGTGCTTAAATGTAGGTATCTGTATTTCCTTCGCCTTGGTCACTGGGTCGTTCGTCGCTCATGTTCTTCACGGTTGAGCGAGATAGAAATGGTTGATGACCAGTTCTCGCTGAGCTTTCAATCTGATTTCGAGCAGCTAGTTTCTAGCACAGGACGCAATCTGCAAGAGTAGATTTTTCGCTTAAACTAATACGTTGTGCCAAATCAGGAAGAGTTAATGCCTTCAAATGGTTGAGAAAATCCGCAGCTAGAGATGTGGATGTGGGTAATGCACTGCTTTATGATCTGAACGATTATTTTGCAGACCTTTCGCTGCCAGATTAGACAACATCAGCAGTGCGGCTTTACGGTTCTGTTTCGCAGAGCCTCGTAAGCGATTTTGAGATCTATATGTTTATTCATCGAATTCTGCTTTGAATACCAGGCCTCAATAAACTCACGTGTTTGCCAACCTGTGGCTTTTCCGAGTATTTCGGCGTGCTCTAGGTCGAACTGCCGGCCTTCGGCATCCATATGCACAGACATCAAAGAGTTCTGATCATGGCGGCGGATTGCTAGGCTATGTTCATGTAGCCGTGTATCAAGCTCCCTTCCTGTTTGTCCTATGTAGTATTTAACACAGTCTGGGCAGCAGATCTTGTAGATTACACCAGATGTGTCCCACTGGCTAAGTTCATCTTTCACTTTGAAAAGTTTATTTCGAATTGTTTCTGTTGGTTGGTGGGCAAGTTTGACTCACAAGGGCAACAGAAGTCTCGCTGCCATTTCAGAGATTCCGTTGACTTAAAGCAACACGGCTCGTTTTACAGCCGCTGCATTTGTTGACGTGTGTTGTGTTGCCTTATTTGGGGTCAAGCAGCGCAGTATGAAGCATTTTGGGTACGAATTCCGTTTGAACATGCTGAAGAGATGGTCTTCCTCCACCTGTCTCGGCTGCTGCGTGCTACAATGCGTCCGTGCCCGTTTGAAAAGTTTTAGCACGCAGCTGTGTTTGTGGACTGCCGGATGATTGCTGTTGTAGTTGATGATCTGGTCCGTATGTGTTGATTTTCGGTAGACCGTGGTTTCCAGTGGTCCCGAACCACTCCTACTTATGAGAACGTCTAATAATGGTAGCTGTCTATTGTTTCCCACTTCCCATGTGAATTGGATGCCGTCGAACACAGCGTTGATGAGCTCATGTGTCTCCTCTAATTTGGTGAGTTTGAGGATGATGAAGGTGTCGTCTACGTAGCGCACCCAAAGTTTCGGTTTCGCAATTTGGAGTGCTATTCGATCTAACGCTTGCGTCACTGCTTCGGTTACCAGTCCAGAGATCGGCGATCCCATTCGGGTGCCTTTTCTCAACTGGTAGATTTGGTCATTAGGGGTGAAAAGTTGCAGAAGCCTGTTACTTTTGGGAGTCAAACTTGCCCACCAACCAACAGAAACAATTCGAAATAAACTTTTCAAAGTGAAAGATGAACTTAGCCAGTGGGAGACATCTGGTGTAATCTACAAGATCTGCTGCCCAGACTGTGTTAAATACTACATAGGACAAACAGGAAGGGAGCTTGATACACGGCTACATGAAGATAGCCTAGCAATCCGCCGCCATGATCAGAACTCTTTGATGTCTGTGCATATGGATGCCGAAGGCCGGCAGTTCGACCTAGAGCACGCCGAAATACTCGGAAAAGCCACAGGTTGGCAAACACGTGAGTTTATTGAGGCCTGGTATTCAAAGCAGAATTCGATGAATAAACATATAGATCTCAAAATCGCTTACGAGGCTCTGCGAAACAGAACCGTAAAGCCGCACTGCTGATGTTGCCTATTCTGGCAGCTAAACGTCTGCGAATTATCATCTCGGAGAGCAGTGCAATACCCACAGCCTTTAATTCCATCAGTTATTCAGGTAGTACACGGACCCACTGGTTCCGGCTGTTTGGCATGCGGTTGCAGATGGCGTTTGCTCGTATCTTCGACAGTCGGGATTGCGATTACCGTATAGCATCGCTTTCCTACCAGATTGGGATATATTGGTTTTGATCTCTGTTCAAGTCGACCAACTAATTCTGTTGCGACATTGTTATTTTTTCTTCTTGATGTCCACTGAAATCCCCATTGTCAACAGTGGCGCTAGAAACGAATTAAGTAATGAGCGTTTTCTGCTATGCACGTTCCCATTTTTTGCGTTCCATGTTGCAAATAGCTTAAATTGCCTCCGTACGAGTGCGAGTGTGACCTTTTGTTACACGGATTCAACTAACCTGCCAAAGGACGTCGCATCCATGTTGTTTCATCTCATGCTATCCACGACCTCGTTTTGGTGCACTTTGCGGCTGACACACTACATGATGCAAACCCAACCATCAAACCGTAAGCCTACACTGATGCGATAGACATGTGGAATAGCTGGTGTTTGTGTGCCCCTCTCTCGTGCAGGCTGTGGAACCGGACGCAATGTTTGTTTTACTCGGTTTTACTCGGTACGGCATACCTGAAAAATGGTATAAATCTGACATTAGCCGATGATCGTATCGTAACGTTACTTTTCATCCTTGAACCTGCTGTACTTTTGTTAGAGGAACTACAATACTTTAGGTATGCTTACGCAAATGTTCGCAACTGTAGAATTTCTCTTTGTTATGTTCATTCGCTGACATTTATTTTAGCGATTCCTTTTGTTAACCCCATTGTCCGTTTACGGTCCTTGTCTCTGAGTGTGGACCACAACTTCACTTTGACGCAAACGCTATCACTCTCCTTTTTGTGTGCATCTGATTGCTTTCTGATTTGCTCCATACTTATTGGCTGTGTCTGTTCACACGTTTTCAGTCCTCTGATTGGTTTTTACTTATACGAGTCATGCTAGATACTGGGGGCCGTTTTCCCATTAAATGAACCCATGAATCTTATTTCTTCTGGTTCATGTTCGCACTACAGTTAGTGTGTGGAAGGAATCACGTGAACCGACAAAACATGCTTAAGGTCTCTAATCCTCCGAGTACCGCACTCGATGGTTACTTTTCCCCATACATTTTGTTATTATCCACATGAAGCCCATCGGGCTCCGTCTATCTCAACTTGAACAATCTGCTCTAAGAACTAAACCGGAAAAGGGTTACTGCAAATATGACATCTGCTTTTGCGATTCCGATGATAGATATGTAACCAGTTTGTTCTAGCTCAAATCACAATCCAGATCGTGCTCACCTACCACAACCCCAACACATAGTGGGTGGCCTTGAGCCTAGAGCAGCGAACACACTTAAGCAGCGGCATACATTCGGCAACTTGCGAGGTGACTTGAAGGGGTGTGCTTAGAGTATCGGATACTGGACAGCCATTTGCGTCTCATAACATGCCTCTTTCGACATGTAAGTGAGCATCCAAACAACGTCAACTGGTGTGGCCATCAAGTAGGATCAATATTCTTTTAAAAGTTACAACGCGTCGTTTTACTATTTCAAACGGCATGCTTGAAACCCCTTTATAACTCACTACAACATTCTATCGCAAACACATTTTGCGCTCACGTTGACTAACGGGCCAGAACCAATTCTAGTGCCAGAGGAAGTCGCCCGTTTTTCTAACCTCTTCAGCTGAGTATCTGGAAGACATAAACTTCGCTGGATTAGTATCTCACCTCCTAAGCCATCGCGCACCAATCCGTCCCTAGAATTATGTCATTTTAAACCAAATTCGCTTTTCCTCCGCTACTAAGTCACTGTATGTGTCCCGCACTCGTTTATTTACATACCATTATGGCACATTATTAACAAGGTTCTATTGGAGCCATAGGTCTTTCATCCCTGGTCACCGCTCTAGAATCCACTGTGCTAGAGTGCATTTCCAGTGATCTGCATTCGTTTTCTAGAAACCACGCCTTCCTTTCTGTTAATTTGATGCTGTCTTTGAAAAGTGGTCCTTAGTTTCTAGGGCAAGTCGCACCGTGAACAATACACACATTGGCAGGCAGATGTCCTCATAGTGCGTCAGTCTAGT